CCTTTATCTGTTGGAGCTTCACCTGGCTTCCATAGCTGCTGAACTTGGCGTCCCTGACAAGTCCTGGTCTCTGGGCCTTTGCCGAGGTTTTGTCAGTGCAGTCGCTGCTGAACTTTCTCTCTTTCATGATAAGACATTCTCGCTTCCGCCTGGGGACATTCTTATTCCGTTCCTGCTCCATACAAAGGAGCGTTTTCTGTTTGAGACTTTCTTCATGTTTCTTTTCCAGGTCCTCCAGCGACTGCTCATAAGACTCCAGCTGTTTCTGCAATTTTTTGATCTCCTCTTCCAACCTAGTTTTCTCATTACAAGTCCTTAGGCCCTGCTGCTGATGGAAGAATGTCTCCCTCTGCAGCCTCACCAGGATCTCTGGCGCCAACAGCAGCTCCTGTCGTAACTGGTCCGAGTCTTTGCGCACCTCCTCTAATTTGTTTCGTAAGAGCTGCCTGTGTGTGCAGGCGTCTGGGATGGAGTTCTCTATCAGTGGGATCTCCGGCTGCAGGCTTTCTCTTATTGAGTTCAGTGCAGTGTCGTACCATTCAGAATCAAAGCTATTCAGTGTCCGGGTCAGACCGGCTTTACGCAGAAAGTTCCTCAAGTACTCATCCACCGCTCCTGGAGCATTATAGTCTATTGGTTGTTGTAGGAGAAGATTCTTCACCTCCTTGTTCTCCTTCTCGGTTCGTTCCTTTGTTCGTTCTGTCATTTTCTCTCCCCTCCCTCTGAACTTGTTGGCCTGTTGCATAGGGGAAAGCTCAGGAAAGACTCATTATCAGGAAGGAACAATGACACAGGTGTGGGTGGGTTTTACAACACTCATAATGTTGCACTGCGTGTTTCCTCCGGATTTCACCGTTTATGTACGAATTGGTTTGAAGTGGCTTCCATGTTTCTACAGACAGTCTAAGGAACTGCTCCCATGTCTTCATTTTGACCCTGTCTGTGTCCTGAATGTCCCAGAGCCTTTCATGTACCTGTGCCTCACTGTACGTGTCACTTCCTGAACTCAAGAATTCCTTTGATGTGCTCGTTCAAATAGGCCGTAAGGTGAACCACGAAAAGTCCTTTAGAAATTGAATTCCGCTCCGATGTCCGGGAACTACACAATCTCAAATTCATAAATAATATAATAATAATCCATCCATCCATCCATTTTCATCCGCTTATCCGTTACCGGGTCGCGGGGGTAGCAGTCGCCACCCAAATCACACTGCACCGTACCTAAACCTTCCTGCGGGTGGTGAGTCCACTGGAAGGTACCAACCGCCCTAACTGGGATTCGAACTTGTCCAGGAGGTGAACCCTGGGGTTCCACACCAATGACAGAGACATTGCCTCTGGGCCAAAGCGCCACTAAATAATAATAATAATATATAATAATATATTTTATTTAGAAGCGCCTTTCTGAACACTCAAGGACACTGTACAGGGTATAAGAATGAGTAAAAATAAGAATGAGTTACGTGAAACTTACAGCAAAAAGTTCGTCGCAAAATATCCTTGTACCTAGCCTCACTGACATTTTCAGCAGCCAGCTGATCATACAGGTGGCATACATATTTGCAAAGTAGTGCAAATGTCGATAGGTCCAAGTTCAAGTTAGCACCCAGATTTTTAAAAACCCTTAAGGTACTCTTCCCGCTCACTTGTTACAGAAAATGTCTTTCTTTTGCCTTTACCATAAAAGGCACTTGTGAAGTCACACCCAGAGAATGTACAGTATGTATGTCAGTCAAGGCTGAACACACACTGGTTCCACACCTTGGTAATGTCAATGATGCGTGTCCTATTGCCCGTCCCGGTGAAATAATATAATATAATCAGTGTCAGGGCTCTTTTGTAGCATGTTGTGCATGCAAAACCACCCTTGACTCACATTCTTCATGATCACACCGCAGGTCTTCAACAGCATGAACAGATTGTACTCCTGATTGTACGACTCTGTTGTACAGACCTGCGTGGGTGTTGCCACTGTGCAAACAAACATGAACTCAAGGAGGAGGATGACAACTGCCCTGACACTGACAGTGAAGACGAACATTTCATGTGTAGCTTCAGAGTTGTATTGCAGTGTTTGCATGGTTAATATCACCGTTCATTTTCTTATGCTGTTTTGTATCTTGCAGTGTTTGCATGGTTAATATCACCATTTTTGTTTTGTATATTGTACATACTGTATGTATATATGTTTTAATAAAGTTTTTTTTATGATTGCAGGATATTTTGCGACGAACTTTTTGCTGTAAGTTTAACGTAACTCGTTCTTAAATATGAAGTTGAGCTCGTGTAGTTCCCGGACGTCGGAGCGAGATGAAACGATAACCGGGTTCACCTTATGGTCTAAAATGAGGATTTTGGTTTTTCTTACAACTAAACAAGACAATGTTGAAGATGTTAACTGGCAGGCAGGCTTCTGTTAACTTAGATAGACAGATAGGTAGATAGATAGATAGTATACTGTATAGCTTATTTTAATGAATTTAAGAAAAACATTCTTACAAGAATATTAGTAAACTTACAGCAAAAAGTTCGTCGCAAAATATCCTTGTACCTAGCCTCACTGACATTTTCAGCAGCCAGCTGATCATACAGGTGGCATACATATTTGCAAAGTAGTGCAAATGTCGATAGGTCCAAGTTCAAGTTAGCACCCAGATTTTTAAAAACCCTTAAGGTACTCTTCCCGCTCACTTGTTACAGAAAATGTCTTTCTTTTGCCTTTACCATAAAAGGCACTTGTGAAGTCACACCCAGAGAATGTACAGTATGTATGTCAGTCAAGGCTGAACACACACTGGTTCCACACCTTGGTAATGTCAATGATGCGTGTCCTATTGCCCGTCCCGGTGAAATAATATAATATAATCAGTGTCAGGGCTCTTTTGTAGCATGTTGTGCATGCAAAACCACCCTTGACTCACATTCTTCATGATCACACCGCAGGTCTTCAACAGCATGAACAGATTGTACTCCTGATTGTACGACTCTGTTGTACAGACCTGCGTGGGTGTTGCCACTGTGCAAACAAACATGAACTCAAGGAGGAGGATGACAACTGCCCTGACACTGACAGTGAAGACGAACATTTCATGTGTAGCTTCAGAGTTGTATTGCAGTGTTTGCATGGTTAATATCACCATTTTTGTTTTGTATATTGTACATACTGTATGTATATATGTTTTAATAAAGTTTTTTTTATGATTGCAGGATATTTTGCGACGAACTTTTTGCTGTAAGTTTAACGTAACTCGTTCTTAAATATGAAGTTGAGCTTGTGTAGTTCCCGGACGTCGGAGCGAGATGAAACGATAACCGGGTTCACCTTATGGTCTAAAATGAGGATTTTGGTTTTTCTTACAACTAAACAAGACAATGTTGAAGATGTTAACTGGCAGGCAGGCTTCTGTTAACTTAGATAGACAGATAGGTAGATAGATAGATAGTATACTGTATAGCTTATTTTAATGAATTTAAGAAAAACATTCTTACAAGAATATTAGTGTTGTCATTAATGAGTTGAGACAAATGAAATGTAATGTTTATGTTTCCAGAACAGAAACCATGACACAAAATTCCAAATAATTTAAATGAACATTCAACAGGTTTTACTTTTTAGCGATAACTTGTGTTTTATTCATCAATCTATTTATTACCAAATTGCGTCATACTTGTTATCTACACTCCTTACCAAGGAGTGGCGCTAGTGCACCAAGTACCACGTATCTATTCAATAACAGGAAGACTACCCGGAAGTAATCCTGACCGGCAGCCAGATGTTGCGAGATATTAGCTGACACTCAGGGAAAATGTGGATTTACAGTGATTTACTGTGGTCATGTCATCTCCGTTTATAGTTTTAAACCGTCTCATCAACAGTATCCAAGTTTACAACTTGAACTGAATTTTTCTTTTTTTTCCCTGTGTGTAACGGACCACAGAGTATCACTGTTTGTTTCCTAACATGTTTGTAAAGCCACACGTGTAAAGGAGCTGGTTTGGAGTTTGTTAACACGGATTTTAATGTATTTTTGAAGGAGACGTCAAAAGAGTTTAAAAGTCAGACTTGTACAATGCCGAAATCATATCAAAATAAAGGCGGACGAGGTATACCGGACAGGTAAGAGACATTTAAAGCAATCTTTATTAAAAATACCCGAGACCTGGTTTCACTAACGCAACAAACGACTTAGTGAATAGTCGCAAAATAATACGATTAACTAAATTTAAAGTACAAATTATAAATTCGAAAGACACGTATCCAAAAGTAAAATTAAAAGGTTTCGGGATAATTGTGACAGTAACCTGAAGTGACGTAACCAACACAGTAGGAGTAGATTTCTCCTGTCTCAAATAAAAACAGATGAGAAACATACATCTACTGATTGTCTTACTGTTTAGCAATATATAGATTGTTTAGGAATATTGTTAGGAAAATCACGATTATTCATTTTTTTTATCCCGTTAACTTAAATTTACAATCAGCCAGACAGGCGATTGAATCCGTGAGAAGAAAGTCATTAAAGCTATTTATGCATTTGAACAAAATACCAACATTTTTCTAGTGGTCACTTGAAACTGAACATGCCTCTTGGAAGAGAGATGAAACAGTCCATTTTCCCTCTGCTTCGCTGCCTCCCATCAAATGACCTGGAGGATCGAGAACCTACGTAGACAAATGGAAACTAAGGTTTTGTTTTCCACAGGTGGCTGGATTACAAAGCTGTTGGGAAGAGACTTGAAGGGACTCGTTTCATTGCCTTTAAAGTTCCATTGAAACCGGTGAGCAGTTAAACGCCAGTAACAAACACGCACACACACTCACATGCACTGTGTCTTAGAAACACATGACTGGCCCTGTACTCATCACCTGTGTGCTTCCTTCAGTCTCTGACTTATCACCTTCGACCCACTGACGTCTTTGGTCCATGGGAGCTGCTGGACGCTGTGAACGAAGACCACGGTACACTCGGCCTGATCATTGACCTCACGTTCACCTCACGCTACTACAACCTACGGGTAAAGTAAAACAGCACATTCCTGTAAATAAAATAAAAACTGTATTTTTATATACTGTTTTCATTTTCAGATGATGTGTGCTCATTATTGTTTTGTGTGTCTCTGTGTGTGCAGGACTTGCCCACGTCGTTGCTCCATGAGAAGATTTTCACTGCAGGCCGCGAGGTTCCCAATGACGCCACCATCCTGGACTTCAAACGTGCCGTACGCAGGTTTCTCAGAGTGAACAAAGGCAATGGTGAGATACGTGAGAACATGTTGTTGCACATGGACATGAACAGTAAAGGGAAGCCTGCTCTGGATCAAACATCTCTAACATTTAACAGCTCTAGCACTCTGACTCTGATCTCCTCTGCTGGTTCTCTCACAGACAAACTGATCGGCGTCCACTGCACCCATGGACTGAACCGCACCGGGTATTTGATCTGCAGGTAGGTACCTGGTTATCTTCATCTGCCTCAGTTTGACCATTCAGTGGATTTACCGGGTGTTTGTGGTAAATGCAGGTACCTGATTGATGTGGATGGGATGGATCCCAAACAGGCTGTAGACTGTAAGTGTTGCTGCTGACTGACTGATCGATTGTTGTTGAACAGATAAGTTCAACTTAAGATGTAATGCTTGTTCAATATTGTTCGTTCTCAGTGTTTAACTCATCTAGAGGACATAACATAGAGAGGGAGGAGTATCTGGATGACCTTCAGAACGGACCCAAGAGAAGGTGAGTGGCCGGAGCTCAGGACTCACCACAAAACCAGGGTGATTACACAAAATGGTGTGAGAAGGAGAGTGCTGACAAAGCAAAACCTGGACCATAGAAATGGAACAGTGGTTGATGGAGGTGTGTCTGTGTAATGTTGTGAGAGTTTGATGTGTTCAGGTTTCTTTAGTTGGTTTGAAGACTCCTGTGGACTCTGAGTCTGTCGGTGTATTTAAAATTCTTGAAAATGTTTAATTCAAAATTCCAGGTTTTCAAATGATTAAAAGTCCATTCCAACGTTCCAAATGCTAAAAAGGTTCAACCTTCAATGTTGTTGTAGGTTAAGGTTTCCTGTGATTAAACGTGTCTTGTCTTTACAGTAATGCAGGGATGGAGGAGTTGAAGCAGGAGCCACTCAGAGGCCTCGCTAGACAGAGGCCGGGTTCCATGTCAGTGGACGATGAGGCCTCGCTAGACAGAGGCCGGGTTCAGTGGACGACGATGGCGCTCATGGGTACAGACGACACAAACAAAAATGAAAATGGCAGTGATGTGCTGCATGTCATGTGATGGTCATTGTTCGTTTTGTCTTGCAGATCTTTCCGTTCACACCCCCAGTCCTCTCAGGGGGGCCTTCTGCCCACACCAGCGTTACTCCCCTCTCCTCCGGTCCGTCAACATAGAGCTTCATTCCATCCCTACAGATGGCAAGCTGCTCGTTCAGAGGCTCAGTGGACTCGACCTGCTCCTCCTGCTCCTTATGCTCCTTATGCTGCTTCTCCTCCTCCTCTTCCTTCTTCTTGTCCTCCTGCACTGTTTGCCTCAAACCCTTCAAATCAGGGCTGGAGCAGAGGCTGGCCCCCTTCGTATAACAGCTCAGACAAACCTGAGGACGAGTGGACTAGGCCTTATCAGAGACGACATCACAGCTACAGAGAGAACAGACATAATTACTATTAGACCTCTGTGTCACATGATCACACCATTCATGATCAAAAACATTCTTGGACGCATTTGATATGGGATTGAGAGAAGCTGGAGCTCATCGTGGTTTATTTATTTACCTGCTGTAGCTCTGTGGTTCTGGAGTTAGTCTTCAGAGGACGTAGCAGTTACATCAAAGGCAACTGGATTGGGCAACTAACTGCTGGGAAGATTCTGGTATTGAACCACAGAGAGGGTCGTTGGGAGGACCACACCTAATACCGAGGGGGGATGTTGTGCTCACAAGGTTTGAGGTGTGAATGGGGGGTTAAGGTCCGATAGGACATTGGTATCACCAAAGGAGCAAACATGGCTGCGTGCCCCTTTGTGTCTGTCCAACTGTCAAAACATCCCCCCCTTGGTATTGGGTGGTCACAGTTGGGAGGACTAAGACTCTCTTTAGGTGTTCAGCCTCTCTGAGGTTCAATTCCAGAAACTTCCTAGGAGCAAAACTCCACTTTTGCTCCTGTTACCCACGACAATATGAAGAGACCATAGGAAGTGTAGAAGAAGTTGAGGTCCATCAATGTCGATGTTTTTTTCCAAGACTTTTCCTCCCAGACAACAGCTTCTTGTCCAAACATAAATATATAGCTGCTGCTGCTTCTGCCTCACATGTGTTTGTGAGTCAACAACACAATTATGTTTACACCATCAGTGTGTTTCTGAACACAACAGGAGCTCACTGCATCTCTTATGAAACAATCAGTGCAATTACCCATAATCCACAGTTGCTTATTTTTACCATTACCATTTTTTTTAACAATTTTACCATTAACCATTGCTGTTTTTTTTTTGTCTTGTCAATGTCTGAAACTGTTGAGGGTCAGAGCTTTACAGCGCCCTCTGATGTCAGATGTTGACCTGGATGTTTTGATGATTTTGTTGAGCTCCGTTTGATTTAACGTTGATTTTCGTCCTAGGCTTTTGATTTTCTGTATCTCACATAAAGCATCAATTGTTGTTCTGGTCTATTATCCTGTGAACAGTGGTTTAATGTCCTGTTCCCTAAGGAAAAAAGACTAAATTACGTAGAAAAAAGTTCTAGATTGTCTCTTCACTGTCAGTATTCTGAATTGTGTGCCTTTAAGGAGTAGGTTTTCCTGGTAAAACGTATTGTATTTAACATATACTGTATTTGTATTAAATGAAAAAATTACGTTTTCATATTTTTGTGCTTGAGCTGACATGTGTGGTCATTTATTCCAAAACTTTTATATTTTATTTAATGTTTCTTGATGATTGAAAAAAGTATGAGCAGCAACGGTACTTTTTTTGTTATTAACCCCTGTATATTGGCCTAGAACCAGGGTTTGAATTATGCAGTGACCTTTGGGGAACCCTACTTTTTGGCTAATAATAATTAGCCATTCAAATACAGCGGCCGCGCTACTTAAGTGAAGAGAAGAGGCAACGTAACTACCGTACGCAACAACGTAAAGGCTACCAGATACAAAACAATCGATTACTGTAAGTCAAGGCCACACAGCCGCACTATGTTACCTCTACCACTAGAGGGCGCTCAAACGTACACAGTACACCTATAATTTGATTTTTTTTTTTTCTCTGTATGTGTTGCGGCAACTGTGGTTACTGCGCCGGCGCAGACGCTGTCACGACTCTGCTTCTTCTTCAACAACTGCTCCGGTAAAGAAAAAATGGCAATGAAGGCGCTCCGGGGAATAGTGAACGGAGCCATGAACGAGCTGTCCTCAGCCGTGAGCGGGAACAGACCTGCACCTGCGTCCACCGCTGCTGCAGCCCGGGAGCATGTGATGGCTGTGAGCCGTGATTACATCTCTCAGCCCCGCCTGAGTGAGTCTGTCGTGCATGTGTGTGTGTGTGTTTGTTTGTTATGTCGCCACAGATTAAAACATCTGAATCAATAACCTCAGCCTGCATTAACTTCTGCTTACTGCTTATTATGAAGACACCTGATGATGATGGCAGTTGAATACATTGAGGCTGTAGCTGTGTTGGTTTCAGCCCATGTGGGGTAGGCTGTCAGATTGCTTCACAGTGCAGCAGGTTGTTGAGCCTATTCCCATTAATCAGCAGTAATTTGACCTTTAGTCTGGGCTACAACAGGTCCAGATCTACACTGTACCATTACACAGGGCTCCCCAACCTCCAGTCTAGGGACCAGTGCTGGTCCATAGGTCATTTGGTATTGGACCACAGTGGGATGCAGTAAAAAAAAAGTACTTCAGTTTTACTAATTTACTTCATTCAAAAATAATCCAGTCATATCCCTTTACTTGTTTCATTCAAAGCTAATCTGTCAATGTTTCAAAACAACAGGTCTTTCAGACTGGGATACTAACAGAATAAAGTCTAAAAGGTGTTTTTTTTTAATAACTTTTTTATTGGAAGAAATTTCACACAAAAAAAGACATTGTTTTCCCCTTTCCAAACCAATTTTGCACAACAACAGGAAAAAATAAATAAATTAAAAGAACTGAGGTAAATAATAAATGAAAAAAAAAAATCAATAAACACTAACTTATAATAATAATAATAATAATAATAATAATAATAATAATAATAATAATAATAATAATAATAATAATAATAATAATAATAATAATAATAATAATAATAATAATAATAATAATAATAATAATAATAATAATAATAATAATAATAATAATAATAATAATAATAATAATAATAATAATAATAAAAAGGGGTCCAGCTTTCTTCCCCCTGAAAGGAATCTTGTGAGGGAAAAATGTGCATGAATCCCAGGGTTCAACCATCAAATCCAGGCAAAGAGGACAAAGATTCAATCTGAGTTAAGAGACGTCACCATGTACTTTCAAATGCATTAGGGAGAGACAACCTGAGCTTTTCCAGTTTGATGGTCAATAGTAGCTCTTTAACCCACCTGTTGTGAGGTGGTGGAGGGGGGTGCCAATAAGGTGGCATAGACGAGAACAGTCCACAAAGGACAGAAACATTGGTGTCCGCTGTACACTTGTGCATGGGAAGAAAAGTTTATCTACGGCAAAAAATTCCACAACAAATCTGAGCAGGCACCAAGAAAACCCCCGGATACTCCCCTCTGACATGACTGCTACTTCAATTATTTTTTGCTGTATTTTATTTACATTTATGCAAATGAATGAGTATAAACAAAACTAATAATTATATTTTATATACTGGGATATGCAGAAATATACATTGACAGAAGAAATACTTGGATGGTTACTCCCCTAGTAGCGCGGCCGGTAACTGGATTACTTTCTCGGAGAAGTAATCAGTAATCAATAACTAAATCCTATTTCCAAGTTACTTGACCAACACTGCTCTCCACCCCCTACTAACAAGTAACAGGAAATCAGTCGTGGTCACTATACATCTTGTCATTTACTGTGACATGATTGTGGTGTGTCATATATATCTGTATATGAACTACAACCAATTAAGCTAATTTATTATCTGTGTTTTTTGAAATTCCTTTCAGCCTATAAAACTGTGTCTGGAGTCAACGGTCCACTGGTCATCCTGGACCAGGTGAAGGTAAGAGCTCAGAAAAACCCAACGCTGTTATCATAACATGTGACAATATTTACCCCAAACCTTTGTTTCATCAGTTCCCCAGGTACGCAGAGATTGTCCATCTCACACTGCCTGACGGTACCAGGAGGAGTGGACAGGTCCTGGAGGTCACAGGGTCCAAGGCTGTGGTTCAGGTACTTGATCAGTGCAGTGAGTGAGATGAAGAGGAATAGCTTTATCTTAAAGATTTTTTTTCTCAAGGTTTCTTAAAACAATTCACTTAGTCCCTTTTAGTTGACCTCAATGCCGATGTTCTCGCAGGAATTAAAGAAAGACACACAAAAAGATCTACATCAGCTCCGAGTGTCTATTACGTTTTAATAGATCCCTTGTTGTTTTGCTGCCCCCATGTGGTTCAGGTTCAGACTAATTAAGTGAAATAGGATAATTGTTCACTGTACACTCAATTTACTGGCTTAAACTGCTGATAGCGCCACCATGTGGTCAGATGTTATTATTTTAATTGATCAATAAAACATTTATTTGAAAATCAAACCCAAACCCCATCTGATCTTATTCACGTCTCCCCCTGTAGGTGTTTGAAGGGACTGCAGGCATTGATGCCAAAAAGACAAGCTGTGAGTTCACAGGGGACATCTTAAGGACACCGGTCTCTGAGGACATGTTGGGTACGACCATCAACGAGAACCAGTTTCAATAGATTTGACATGAAAATATTGTTTATAAAACCAGTTGTATGTTTACGTGGCGCAGGACGTGTTTTTAACGGCTCTGGAAAACCTATCGACAGAGGACCAGCCGTCCTCGCTGAAGACTTCCTGGACATCATGGGTATGGTGATCTCTGTTGTCTCTTTGTAGAAGAAGCTAAACATCAGAAGAATATGTTTACCGTTGTCACTGTTGGGGCAGGGGCTAATAGTGTCGATCCTCTTAATGGAATGAGTGATTCACAGAGAGGCACGAATGCCATTTTTTAAAAAATGATTTTGGCCTAAACTCTATCATCCAGGTCAGCCTATCAACCCTCAGTGTCGTATCTACCCCGAGGAAATGATCCAAACTGGAATATCTGCCATCGATGGCATGAACAGCATCGCCCGAGGACAGAAGATACCCATCTTCTCAGCTGCAGGACTGCCTCACAATGAGGTGCACAAACTTGTTCACTCACACACTTGCATACATCTATAACTTGTGCAAATATTTCTAAATAGTCCTTCGCTGTTTGCATGTCTCTGTGTCCGACTTCTCTTTTCAGATTGCAGCTCAGATTTGTCGTCAGGCTGGTTTGGTAAAAAAGCCCAAGGACGTGATGGACTACAGCGAGGACAACTTTGCCATCGTGTTTGCCGCTATGGGGGTGAGAATCTTTTGAGGGCACTTTTCTTAAGTGAGCAAAACGACTACTCTTCTTCACAAAGACGAAAGATTTGCCGCAATGCTGCTTTTGTTACTATGTTTTTGCACATATCCAGTGGGGCTTCAAGATACACGTTTAATCCGTTCCACGTACAGTGGAACCTCGAGATATGAGCATAATTCGTTCCAGGACCGAGCTCGTAACTTGAGGTGCTCGTATCGCTAATCATTTTTTCCAATAAGAAATAACAGAAAAAAAATGAATCCGTTCCGGCCCTTTAAAAAACTCCCTTATTAGTGCTAATAACAATGGAAAAAATTGCTATAGGGACATACACACACAGAGGAATGATAGTATATAAGGATTCCTGTGATATAAAATAAAATGTGGTTTTAATTATGAGTTTAGGTTAGTTTTCTACTTTAGGAATGATACAGTAGCAGCTAATGGCGGCATGTGCGGAGGAGGAGGAAGGATTCCCTACTGTACCTTACACGTACACTAGGTAATTTACATAAGCTTAGAATTAACTTACATATTTTTTTTCTACTTTAGGATGGTACATATGGTGGATGTACTGCGATCATACATGCATGCTTGATCACTCACGTGGGCACCATGCATATATTCTTAGGACTCATCACTGTTATGAAGAATGATGCACAAAATAGAGAGAAAATCACAGAAGTGATGCTTACGGAAGTCGCCAAACACGTGACGTGAAGAAGTGAGGCGGCGTGGGCTGCTCCGAGTGCTCGGCCACCTAGCGTTGGCGTCTGTAAGCGTGCTTATGTCTCAAATCTTTACTCGTATCCTGAAGCAAAAATCAGCTTGAAGGTTTGCTCGTATCTCGAAATACTCGTATGTCGAGACCCTCGTATTTCGATTGTTGCTCGAAAAATGGAGCTCGGTTTGGCACTCATAACTTGATGTTTCCTCATATCATGAGGAAAATCTTGCAAAAGTTGGAACTTGTAACTTGGAAAACTTGTATGTCAGGAAACTAAATTTTTTTTATTGATTCATGTTCAAGGTCAACATGGAGACGGCCAGATTCTTTAAGTCAGACTTCGAGGAGAATGGATCCATGGACAACGTTTGTCTCTTCCTCAACCTGGCCAACGATCCCACGTCAGATCTTCTGCTCATGCCTCATCTAAACAAATGCTCTCATATGTCAGTTTATATTAGTTTCATATTTTTCTTTCTTCAAATTTCAGCATTGAGAGAATCATCACACCCCGTCTGGCCCTGACAGCTGCTGAATATCTGGCCTATCAGTGTGAGAAGCACGTCCTGGTCATCCTCACTGACATGAGCTCCTATGCAGAGGCTCTGCGAGAGGTAGACACAGTTTTAGAAGTTTTACTTTTTTGGGAAAAGACTGCACTGATATTGTCGTCAATGTACTGTGTTTCCTTACCTCTGTATCTTAGGTCTCCGCAGCCAGAGAGGAGGTGCCGGGACGCAGAGGCTTCCCTGGTTACATGTACACGGATCTGGCCACAATCTACGAGAGAGCCGGAAGAGTGGAAGGACGTAACGGCTCCATCACACAGATCCCCATCCTCACCATGCCCAACGATGGTACGTAATCCTTAAAAAAAACAAACACATGAGGCCCATCAGGGTCTGCAGCCTGTGTGGGTTGCATTTGTAGGACATAATTCACAGACCAGGCTAGAAACCATGTCAATCATTTTTTAAACTTTTTTTTACTAAATGTTTAAGTGACAGAATCACTGAATCAACTGCCTGTTTGCTGTAAATGTGTGATTTTATCTTATGTTTCTAAAACCAAGCACTTAATTTAGGTCTTGGTTTCTGATACTTGGTTTCTACCCACTGTTGTGGGCTAATACGACCAAACAGTGCAGGAAAAGATCAGCTGATGGCTGTAAAGTGTTGTCGTTGTGTTTTGCAGACATCACTCATCCCATACCTGACTTGACTGGATACATCACAGAGGGTCAGATATATGTGGACAGACAACTGCACAACAGACAGGTACAAACAAATGTTCCTCCTCTGACGGGACGGGTGTGTTTGCTGCTGCGTGGTGTTGTTTAATGTCTCTGCGTTTAGATCTATCCTCCCATTAACGTGCTGCCGTCGCTCTCTCGTCTGATGAAATCTGCCATCGGCGAGGGAATGACCCGCAGAGACCACTCTGATGTTTCCAACCAGCTTGTATGTAGACAAATACCAATCTTGGACACACACTGCTGTACGAATCAGACACATTCCTTTCCTCTCTGAGTCTGAGTGTGTTTTTGTGCGTCTTTGTGTGTGCAGTATGCATGCTACGCCATCGGAAAAGACGTCCAGGCCATGAAGGCAGTGGTGGGAGAGGAGGCTCTGACTGCTGACGACCTCCTCTACCTGGAGTTCCTGACCAAGTTTGAGAAGAACTTCATCTCCCAGGGTACATTGGGGCTGCTACTATATTGTGATTGTGTGTTTGCACAGTGCAGAGTTACCGCATTTACTGTTGTCTTTGTGTGCGCAGGAGCGTACGAGAACAGGAGTGTGTACGAGACTCTGGACATCGGATGGCAGCTGATGAGGATCTTCCCCAAAGAGATGCTGAAGCGAATCCCTCAGAGCACCTTGGCTGAGTTTTACCCCCGAGAGGCCAAACACTGAGCCGGCCCCTGCTGCTTCCAGCTGAAATCTCGCTGCATAGATCCAGTGCATACAGTGTAGTGTTGTGACATCACACGTGGCGTGACGCTGTAACCGTCCCGTGGCCTTGAAAACCAAACGTTCCTGCTCCAACAGCCAGAATGAGAAGATGTTTTAATACACACAGAGTTTATGTTTATAAAGAGAGAAGGACAGAAAGGACATCCCCAGAATACACTGTCTCTATATTGTCCATTACTGAAATTCTAGATATTATTTATCATAGTTCTATAAATCGACCTAATAACTTATCAAACCACTGTGATTAAAAGACCACTTCACACAGTGTGCCAATCAACACTGGTCGCTGGGTAGTTAGTAGTAAAAGCAAGTGTCTCTTCCTGCTGCTACTCCTAAAAATATTAGTTTATAAGTAGAGACGTCCGATAATGTTGGCCGACCGATATTAGCATGATCATGTAATATTGGTAGGAACCGTTATCGGATTTAGACCAAGTCATGTTCAGATCTTGATCTGATCGTCTTGGTCTTCATTACTCTGCTAATCTTTCTAAAGTCCACTTTCAGTCGTCTTCATGAGGTCTGGAATTTCGGGACCAAAACTTTACCTGGTTAAAAAAAAAAAAAAAAAGAGTCCAGGAGCTGCGACTGATGCGCTGACTTGTATTTCTGCCTTTAAAATCTCGTGACACCTCCCGTGACGTCACTGTCAGGATGTTTTAAACGAGGCCAGAATGTTTACGACGCCACAGGTGGTTGAAGCCATGTCTGTGAAGGAAGCCAGGAGATGAAGTGATGAGTGTGGAAACTTTTCTGGTTTGAATGTGCAGTGTTTGAGTGTGACGTAACCGTTCGTTCTCCTCGGTGTCGTTTCTTTTGAAGCTGGTGTTGAATTTGTCATTTTGTTGTGATCGATTCTGTGTTTGTGTACTATGCTGTTCTCTAGTATTCGAACACAGCGGTCATGAGTTCGGTCTATGGGTTGTGTATTTGTTTTCTCAGTGTGTGCGTATTAATTGATTATACTAATCAGCGTGCATGCATTGTTGTTAAATGTTTACTCTTGATGCCTCATTAAATCAGATACAGTGTGAAATTAAACCAAAAAAAAATCCCCAAAAAACCCTGGCTTTTGCTCATTACATTACAATTTATTACCAAAAAAAAAATCCCAAAAAAACCCTGGCTTTTGCTCATAACATTACAATTTATTACATATATTAATATAATATATATAATATAATTAATATATATAAATAAAATTAAACATGTCTGTTAATATGTAGTATGCACATAATAATAATAATACTTTTTAATCCTGCACATAATAATAATAATACTTTTTAAATTTTTTTTGCTTAATTTTTGGCTTTGACTTTTCCTAATTAAGTGAGGGGAACTGGGTAACAGGAGGGTTAAAGCATGAATTTTATCTAATTCATTCAAAAACATATTTTGCAAGAATTAATACAACCAAAATTTAAGCAACAAGTGGCCACTACATAAAAATGCAACTTAGAATTAGCTTGTGTGCTAACTGTAGCACGGAGCTTTACTGAGCTATAAGTATCTTAACAATGGTGTGAAAATGATTTGAAAATAATTAACTTATGGTTCTGACTCGAATTATGTTAGACTGTTATTCTGCATCGCCAAAGAGGGTTTAATTAAAAGGTTTGTTACCTGTGATAATCGGTAACTTCTACAGCACAGCTATGCTAAGATAACCCGGCTACTGCCCTCACATCTGCATGAGTTGAATAAACCCTTACCTGAAAGGCCCCCACGAGGGTCTTTTGTCCAACAGAATGTAATATTTCTGTAGTGTAATATTCTTACTGCAGTATTTTTTAACCCCGCACTCCCCTTGAAGCATTACCTAATAATTAATCACGTTTTTTAAAAATCTGTTTTAAGGCACATAAAAAATATGCTACTGTCCGATTTGAAGGAGTATTAATATATTTTTGTAAATCAAAACCCATAATTGATGCTGCACCGTGACGTGGGACCATAAAATATTATTCGCTTTCACATAAAATGAACTGATATATAAATTAATCAATGTAATTTAATTACGTTTTGTTATGTCGGCACTTTCATTCCTTCATACATGAATAATAAATAACCGTCGAAAATTTTATTTCATTGAATCTATAAATGTGCCCAATGGTCATGTTGCAATTTTAGAAAGAACCACAGAGAGGCACTGTTGGTCTTTTGATACTGATCCTTACCTGGCTGTTGAGCCTAATATAAAATATTTTTCTCTGAATTTTGACTGTGAAACGAGGTCTGACGTAAAGTTTCTAGAATCAGCGTCCTTCATAAGGTGAATGCTCTGATGATAGAGTAGAGTGTTTTCGCTAAAAATAAGAGCAGGAGGACTAAGAGTAAGCCCTTTATTTGTTGCCTCCCAGAAGTTGTATGAAGTTCCACCAGACCTGGAACCATTTTCTTACCCAATCAATTCTTACTAGTGCGTAGGCCTGGAACTAAAAAATAAAAATAAAAATAAAAAAATCAATAAACCAAAATCTAAAATACAAGTTGGGCTCCTTTAACCTTCAGATATAACCATGTGTTTAATTTCCTTCAAAGACTGATTTGATTGAGTGGTTTATTTTTTAAGTATGTTTGCACTTTGATTTAATTAGTTAGTGTATCTTCCAAAAGTTACGCAATAATTAACTTCCAACTTATCATAGTGCTACATAAAATGAGTCCCCTTATCAAAAAACAAAAAAAAAGAAAGAAAAGAAAACAGGAATCTGAATCGGCCAGAAAACCACATTCACTACGTCTCTAGTGTTGAAACTACTTTGTTTGGATTTACTAATTGACACAGACTTGGCTAATGAGGCATCAGTGGACCTTCAGCTCCTCTGTCCCCTTGAGTTAAAACCATTGATTTTCCTCCATAGACCTTGGTGTGGGAGATTGACTGATGTGTACACTTTAGTTTTCAGTCTGAAAACACATATAGTCTTATTACAATATAGGCTTAAGCAGGCATTGAGTGTATTGAACAGGGTTTTTGTTAAGTCTCTGAAATCTGTTTTTGCCTGTGTCCCAGCTGACGTCCATGCTTCAGCAGGGTAGAGTTTTAGTCTTTCTGGCTTTATACATGACACTTGAAAACATATTTGAACTATAGAAGCATAGAAGAATGGGATACCCTGGTGATACCCTTCTTTTATGGCCGTCATAATATGAGCATCGACCCTAATAATTAATGTGTGAAATTAATGTGGTCAAACTTTCCACCGTCCATCCACTTACTGTATGTTGCTCTGATTCTTATTTAAGACTTGTGTTGCTGTTGAGTGCAACTGTGTGGAAAACCTTAAGATACCAGCTCAACTCCCAGCACGTGTTTGAGGAGTCTTGGAGTCAGAGCAGCCTCGACTTTAGTTAAGTTTTAAAGGCAACTCTACAAAGTGTTCTACAAAAGTAATGCCTAAAATTCAACAATTCATGAAGCAAAATTTGGAGTTAAAAATGTATATATTTTTCTGACTTTTTTCCCCCCACATTAATAGTTCCATCCTTTGGATGGATCACGGATTCTAACAAGTTTGAAGTTTGAGGTACATCTACCTGCTGCTATATGTCATATTTTGAGTGTTTTTATCCCGATTAATCCCGACTAATCTGCATCTGAACTGTGATTAATCCTGTTAAAAGTTTCAGTCAGTTGACAGCCCTGCTAATCTTTTACCAATTCTGACTGAATATTGGAGCGACATGGTTCGGAGACACCCAAACAGCTGTTCCTCTGTCATTGTTTAACAAATACAAGCTCATTCTGTCCCCTGATACTTTTCACTTTTACTTTATGTGTGGTTAGATCTGACAGTTGAGTATCACAAAGCTGTTTGTTTTTCTTACAATCACTTGAATTTATTTATCCCTCCTGGTGCCGGTTCTGGTTTTTGATTAGATTTATGATGGGTTTTCTCTATTTTTGGGTCTCAGAGAGCACTGTAAGGAGAAAGATCCTCCTCCTACAACGGGTCGTTGTTCGTGGCCCGGCGGAGCTGGGAGCAGATGGTGTGAGTGGGATGGTGGATACAGACTGGACAAAGAGCAGCGTCTTGTTTTGAGTTGGGATCTGGTTTGTTGATTCTGGTGGACTCTAGTGGCTGGTGCTGTCGACCCTTACGGAGCAGGATGTGTAAACATTACAGAGTCTGGGTGAGGAAAAGACAGTGTATCCCAAAGTGTCTTTCCCCTCCACGTTCATGCTGGCGGTACATTGGTCAAAACTTGGGTTTGTCACTGCTTTGTTATCACTTTTGTGTTGTTGTCATGCGCTTCTGTGTTTGTTTGTATTTTGGTTACTTTTCCATTGAGTTCTCCAGGCTGCCGTAGTTTCCCTGGACTTTCGCCAGCGTTGGGAAAAAATGATTTTTCATTTCCAGATATTCTCCTCATGCTAGAGAAAAAGAGTCGCTCCTTCTATCCGCCCCACGTCTCTAATCCTTCGCCTCCACCTCCTCCGTTGCTTCCTCCTCCTCTCCATTGATGTGGATGTAAGCAGAGCAGAGTGAGGCAGTGATGCTGATGTGTAGTGGCAGGTATGTGGCTTCTCTGTCTCTTTGCCACTGCTCTGATTGCTCACAGTGACAGGTCCTCTGTCACTGAATGTGTGTGTGTGCATGTGTGTTTGGCATCGCTGTAGGCGTCACAAACCTTTTTTGTTCTTCCTGTTGCTGGCACTTCATTTTTATTATTTTTTTTATTTTTTGATGGGGGCAAGTGCATTTTAAAAGGTGAAAAATCCTTGTCCACGTTCCTAATTTGCCTTGAAATTAATTTTCCTAGTTAATGAGTTTCAGTGCGAGGCTAATGGGAAGTGAGCAGACTTCGTAGAAGCAGGAACCAGCAGGACGACGCTCAGCTGTGACAGTTAATCGGTCAATCAATCAGTTTAATGAAACAAACAGAATAAATGAGATCTTTTTTTTTAATCATTATTATAAGTCAGACTGAGATGGTCTGCCCATCCTCAGTGTCCCAGTGTTGTGTGTGTTGTGGTGTTGGATCAATATTTGTGGCTGTGGGTCAGGAACACATGCAGGGGCAGCAACAGTCTGCTGTTTGTACCGCTTTATTCCTGTTTGTGCTCTGGCAAACACATAACGACAAAAGTGCAACTTCAGATCAAGGATTTGATCGCTGCTGCTGCTGCTGCTGCTGCTGCTGTGGACAATCCACATGTTAGATATTTTTAAGGACTCTCACTGAATGCCCTTCCAAATGAAACCTTTTTTTTTTAGTTGTTTTTCTTAGTCTCAGTTCTGTGTGGCATGACTCATGGCAAACAGTGAGCATCAAACTCTTATTTTAACATAATCATCCAAGACCGGGTTCCCCAAACTTGTCCATGCCAAGCTCCCCTTCTTCCCCCTTCAACATTAGCGTCTGGCTGTGGACCACTTTACACACCACAGACAATGCTACAAAACAAATGTATTTTCTTACTTTTATTCGCTATTCATACAATAATTATTACATTTGTTTAGCAAAAGACAATTATTAATCAACATGTTTTCAGCATTGTCAAAAACCTTTCCATTTAGCTACACGCTAGCTAGAGGAGCAGAGCAGCTTGATAACAGGGCTAAAGCAGCTAATGGCTAAGTTACAGCTGTCACACTAGATACGTTCACCTACCATCGGAAAATAGAGAATCTGTCGATTAAGTAGTGTACAGTTCAGGACAAATGGTTATTAAAAATTAATTAGATCACTCGAGCCCCCCTCCCACTTTTTTCTTATCTTCCTTCCAATCCCTCTAGCGCCCCCTGGTGGGCCCTCAACTTTGAAAGCCACTGATCTAAGCCACAAGATGAAAATACATATAATATTTAATGCTAAAGTTTCCAAATGAAAGTTCATGAAAGTCCTGCTGACGTCAGTGACCCATTTAACCATAACCAGTGGTAACTCATCACATCTGTTAGCAGCAGGAAACGGAATATTAAGAATGAGCAGAAGTCTAGTTTTTCCCCCCCCTCCGATCACTTGATGTACTTCTGGTTTAGTGCAAATAAAGAATTATTGATCAATAATCACTCTGCGACACCCCCTGCCCGCCCATGCCCCC